CGGAGACCCCTCTCTGGGAGGTGGCCGGGGAGAGCCCCTCCACACCCCAGCTCCCTGGGGACAGGGATGTGCTTGGCCCACACGTGTCCACCAGTTTCTTCCGACAGTTAGTGCTGCTAATTTATTTTATCATTCACAATACACTTACAGAGGGAGGGGAATGGGGTTTATTTTATAGAGAGCGTGGCGATGTGGCAATAAATGCTGTTACAGCTACTTGTACCTTTGGAAGTGTTTTTTCCCCCCAAGGTTGCCCTGTGGCCCCGACTGTCAAGTTGTTTCTCCGTTGTGGTGTTATCTGTGGAGTAATTGTGCGTATGGAGTTTTTAATTGGCATTTAGCTGTGTTGCGTACATACAGAAAATGGTAGCATCGATCCTCACCGGTTAAGCCTTAATAGGAGCCTGTGTGGGCTTGTGTTAGCAAAACCCCTCCTGACCTGAGCCCTTGTTAGCGTCAAGCAGCAAAAAAGAGGGCAGGCAGCACTGCTGAGACTTTTCTCCAAATCTGATTGTGGTACAAATGGCTATTTCCATGGAAATCGTGGTTCTTTCCCTGTTATCCTTCTGGGCAGCCCCTGGCCGAACGCACCCGCTTCACGCGGCAGCAAACGCTTTTGCACGTGGACACGTGCTCCACGTGCAGGGATGGATGGGGATGCCGGAATAAAACATAATTGTGCTTCGTTTTACAACCTGGTTGTGTAATCTCTTGCCTGTCTGCTGTCCGTGTGTTTTTTAATTTCCTTCTCCTGAAGGAGGAAAATGGGTGTCACTGAATTAGCTGCTACATGTTTTTTGTAACTGGGTTTGGCCAACTTGGTATCAGCGACAAGGTGGAGCGGAGCGAAATCGGTGCACGTGCTTCCTCTGTATGCTGTGCTCCGAAGACTGTGCACTGAGCAAGCTTCCCGATGGCTCCTCGGGGGCAGCCGCAGCAGGGGACAGCAAGCCTAACATGGGTGCCTTGTGCACCCCGGCCGTTTCCAGCGAGACAGACTGACTGCCATTTCACAAAATTCAAATAACACTGCTTGTCTGCCGTTCAGCAGCCAGGCCAATTAGGTGTAAGTAATAGTGAAGCACGGGACCACCTAAATGAACTAATTGAAAAAGAACATTTGCAGGAGCTGCATAGGAGTGCCATCCTCAGCCTGGTGTGAGTGCCTGGAGCTCCCCGGGGAAGGTAAGGGAGGAACAAACGTGCCAGTCCCTTGCTGCCACTGCTTTCCCTCAGAGGGAAAAGATATTTTTTAAATCTTATTTTAAGGAAAGTTCTCGCCAATAAGTAGCCTGTATGACAAAAATGCTTTGATCCATGTATTTCTGGGCAAAAACTGATCCCAAACTGAGCTCTGATGGCATCATCGAGCATTTGCCGTAGCAACTACTGGGAAGTGCTGCTTGATCTGTGGTGGGACTGGAGAGTGGAGGGCCATGGTTAGAGCACGTTGCCCTTGGGACTCACTCAAGGAAGGAGAGGTGCCAGCAGTCAGGTTTCCCCACAGTCAGCCCCCCTGCAGCCCCCGTGCCTGCAGGGGATGGGCACTGCTCTCACCTTGTGCTTGTGGGTCTGGTTGAACCATGTTTATTCTGACAGCCCTCACTGTTCCCACTGATGAGAAGAGGAGCATTTACCGCGTTTTGGAGCTGTCAGGTGAAATTTGGCTGAAGAGACAGCCCGTGTGTGTCCTCCATCCAGTGGCCAGTGAAACCTGTGCTCCCCTACCCCAGGTGGGTGAGGACTGGGGTGAGCTGAGGATGCCGGTGCTTTACTCCCTTGCACCCCATTTCCCTGCTGTGCTGCACATCAAGGGCTGCTGCTGAAACACTGACCTTTCACGTGGGGTTTCTGGCAGGCAGGAGCAGCCCCACAGTACCCAGCCAAAGGGTGCTAGCAGGCACGGGAAGCTGCAGGGGGTAGCTGGCGCTTTCGTATTACTGTAATTCCTAAAATGCAGTCACGCTATTGCAATGAAGAGGTCTGTGCCACAGCAGACAGCAGCCTGCTAGCAACCTCAGCAGAGAGCCTAATGCAAATTAATCTAGAAGTGGTGTGGACTGACAACCCCTTCCTGTTCCTTTCTGGCTATTCTGCAAAGAAATTAAATAGGTTTGCTTATCAGGAGGAGGCTGAAGGCATTTAAGAAATGGGTACATATCTCTGTTCAGTTTAAAGATGGCCTGTAGAAAACCTGAGAGACCTTGAAGGAATAAAGGTAACTTTTTTCAGTGTATATGTTTCTGGCACTTCAAAAGTGGTTTTGGTGTTGGCTTACTTTCATTTACAGCTGTTGAGTGCATTTAAACCCTTCTGGCTACTACAGGTGGACTGGAAGCCACATTGCACTGGCCAACTGCTCCCTGAGAAGGATGAGAAGCCCAGAAATTGCAGCAGAAGCCCAGAGCCTCCTGCAGTCCTGCTCACAAGGCAAGCGGGAGCCTCCGCTGCCCTTGAGCTGGTGGGGATTTACTGGGAGAAAGGACTTGAGACCAAAACACTTCTTTTCCTCTTTCCTGCTTGTTGGCAGTTCTTAGTATTCTATGCTGCTGGGAGTATTGCTCCTGCAGAATCAATGGGAGCAAGAGTCTGCTCAGTATTGTGACTTGAGGGAGGGAAAATTGCTGTGACAGTCCAGGAAGAGAACAGCTCCGGCTTTGCAGCTCCAACTCTGACATAAACTATCCTGTCAGCCACTCCTGTGTCATCCGAGTGGATTTATCATCTTGGCTTCAACAGCAACAACACTAATTGCTGGACTCAAACAGATTTTTTTTTTTTGGTATTTATTTTACATAAAAGCTCTTCATATTGCCTTTAAATCTTGTTGACACAGAGGAAAAACCTTCTGGAAAAATCAAGGGCAGGGGGGCTTTCCTACCCTTCTTTTTCAGCTGCTGAGGGCAGCAGGGCATGCTGGGGAAGGGGTTCTGTGTTTGGGGACCATGGGGAGGTCTGGCTGCTGGAAGGAAGCAGGGAGGAGCGTTGTGCATCAGCCGGCTGGGTGGTCTTCGGTGAGGGACCAGCGGCTTCTCAGGCAATTTTACTCATGGAGCAGGCTGAGAGCAGGGCTGGTATGAGCCCATCGGTGGGTGGCATCCAAGGAGCCAGGACGTATGAAGATGACATGGATGTATGAAGTTAACTGTCCTAGGACACCAGCATGATGCCTCCCAGTTCTTTGTCAGTGAGGCTAAAAATGGTGCGATTGCACAATGTGAACCGATACCTAAAATTTGTCCATTTTTTTCTCTCCCATTTGCTTTCTGAGTCATCTTTTCCTGCAGGCTTTGCAGATATAAAAAGTCTCAGATGTCGATTAGGCAAAGTACTGCATGGGGAGAGACACGGTGCTTCTGGAAGCTTGGCTCAAAGCACGACATGAGCAAGTGTTGGAACAAACGTGAAGTCTCCTGGGAGGATCTGACTTTCTTTTTCGCTCTGCATATCTGTTTTACCCCAGCCGACGCGCTTCACCATGAGCTCTGCCGGGCAGGCTGGGCTGGTGGCGCGCACTGTTGGCCTGTTCCCCCTCAAGGGACTGAATCCGAACGGAACTTATCACCCAATGGGGAAAACAGTGGCTCAAACCCCACATGCTTAGAGAAGTAGTGACAGGACAAGGGGTAACGGGTTTAAATTGAAAGTGGGGAGGTTTAGATTAGATATCAGGAAGAAGTTCTTCCCAGAGAGGGTGGTGAGGCACTGGGACAGGTTGCCCAGAGAAGCTGTGGATGCCCCATCCCTGGAAGTGTTCAAGGCCAGGCTGGATGAGGCTTTGAGCAACCTGGTCTCGTGGAAGGTGTCCCTGCCCATGGCAGGGGGGTTGGAACTAGATGGGCTTTAAGGTCCCTTCCAACCCAAACCATTCTGTGATTCTATGATTCTAAGTTGGGGGTTGGCACGGTGTGTCATTTTTTGGTTTGTGGGTTGTTTGGGTTTTTTTTTCTTCTATCTCTGACTTAACCACTGTGGTGCTGGGGAAAAAAAGCTGGAAGAAAAACAAAGGAAGAGGATTCCCAAATTCCTTTCCAAACAACTGCCGATTTCAAAGGGGGGCACAAATCCACGAGGAGCTGAGAAAGGGGCTGCAGGGAGCATGGTGGAGCGCATCCCCACACCGTCTTGTTGGGCGCGTTTGTTACCATTCTGAAAGGAAAAAAAAACCTTCACGGCCAATAGC